CAGAATAACAATTGGGCACCTATAACCTATAGCTTTTCATCTAGAGTACTTCACCAGAAAACATACTGTATATACTACTGAACAGTGTAAATCGTTTAAAAGTCAGTTTACCCGATGTTTCCTGTCTTTGCGGACATGCTGCAATATCCTCTGCTGAGGGACGTCAGCTCTGTGCCGTAGGAGACCATCTTTCCTGACCGCAACTGGTCCTGGTGATTTCCCCGGGGCCCATTCATTTCCTCTATCAGTCATTCAGGTTGCTGTTCCCCATGTTACCATCATTTTTCTTCATAATGGTACAAGAAAAAACCCTCTTACAGATTAAAGGTAATAAACACCATAAATGGAATGCCTACTATGGGCCAGGAGCTGTATGGATACCATATTTAATGCTCACAGCCATCTTATACTGTGGAAATCACTGTCCTCATTTTGCAGATACAGAAGGGACACACAAGGTAACCTCATGTGGGAATGGACACTGAGCCAGGGTCACCTGACCAGTAAGAAGCAGGGTTAGGATTCAAACAAATGTGCCTCCTACACTCCTAGAGTGCCTCCATCTCCTACTCTTCCTGAAGTCAAGATTTACATGGCTTTATCTCAAGGCATGGATTTGGCAGCAGTGTACTATTAACTTTTAAAATTAAATATAATTACTGAAAAAACACTATTTATTTATTTATCCTCACCTGAGGATATTTTTCCATTAATTTTTAGAGAGAGTGGAAGGAGAGGAAGAGACACACAGAGAGAAACATCGATTGTTGCCTCCTGCACGTGTTCTGACCAGGGCCGGGGGATGGAGACTGCAATTGAGATACATGCCCTTAACTGGAATAGGACCCAGGACCCTTTAGTCCGAAGACTGGTACTTTAGCCACTGAGCCAAACTGGCTAGGGCTTATAATTACTTTTGAATTCAGGTTAAACTTACATACAGTAAAGTGAACAAATTCTAAGTGTTACACTTTATATTTCTAGGCACTTGTGTAACCATCACCTGGACTCTAGATCCTTGATAAAGATGCAAGTGATTCTAGCACTCCACAGGTTTCCTCATGCCCCTTCCTGGTCAGTCCACACCCCCAAAGGAAACCCCTATTCTGATGTCTATCACTATAAATTAGTTTTGATTATTTTTGAACTTCGTATGAGATCATCAAGTGTATACTTTCTTGTATGTGGATTCTTTTGCTCATCGTATTTGCGAGGTTCATCAATGGACAATGTATAAAATGGAAAAGTTAATTTTTCCTTGCCTCAAAATGGAAAAGTTCATTTATATACTTTAAATGAATGTTGTTAGAGGTTTCAGAAACTTCTAAACCGGATTTTGGTGAAAGATATATCTTAGTCAACTTAACACTTAGGTACAACACTTAGGTGCCAAACACTTAGGTATTTTCATGTCTAATATATTTTTTAAAACCTTCCACATTAATACCAATTACCAACTATATTTTATGGTAATGCAAATTATATTCTTTAAAATAAAACACATTTTTAAGATTATAAAAAAATATAAAAATATATAAAAAAATATAGAAATAAAAGGTGAAAATTCATGTGTAATTTTATGTAGCACTATCTTTTGAAAGCCTGGTGCAGCAATTCCTTAAAAAGTCTTGCAGATGAGATTTGGGAAATTCACAATTTTTTCCATATATATAATTACTTACAAAAGTGTGGGAGAGCTGAGTAAGTAATCCCACCATATTTCCCTGACTTCATAAGGGTTGCCAGTAAAAATTGTGGAAAATAGCCCTGACCGGTTTGGCTCACTGGATAGAGTGTCGGCCTGCAGACTCAAGGGTCTCAGGTTCGATTCCGGTCAAGGGCATGTACCTTGGTTGCGGGCACATACCCAGTGGGGAGTGTGCAGGAGGCAGCTGATCGATGTTTCTAACTCTCTATCCCTCTTCCTTCCTCTCTGTAAAAAATCAATAAAATATATTTTAAAAAATTGTGGAAAATAGCCTTGCAACATTCAATATTACTAACAAATCTGAACAAAATGAGTGACAAAAATCTATGCCACAGGTTATATAGAGGATAGCTATAATTTTGAATTAATGATATTCCAAATTTCACTTAAGAAAACCCCCAAAATGTTTAGGAACATAAAATATTTGTAACTTTGCATACATGTAGTTGAAATAATATAGGCTTTGGAGCCACAAAGACTTGGTTTGAATTTCAGTATTATCTTTACTTTGGCAAATTATTAAACCTCTGAGCCTTAGTTTAATTACCTGAAAGATGGAGAATACTTATTTCAGAACTTACATGAAAATATATATATATAAGTGCCAAGTACATATAACAACTTTGTTTTTCCTCTCCTGATAATCATTACTGATTAGGAGACAATCACTACAACTTAAATGCCCAGTACAGCTACAGACATATCCAGAATTGTTACAAACACTTACATTCCTTCTATTACCCAAGTGAGTCTCACGATAAAGTGACATCACCTAATTAGAAAGATTACAGGTGTTATGATTCATATGTGGAAATCAACAGGCATGAGGGAAGAATAAAAAAAAGTGAATTGAATTTAGTTGTATTAGCAACAGCTAGAAACCTAAGCACTCTCCAATGATGCCCAGGAACCAACAGTTCTTCAGAAAGGAGTAAACGGGAAGACTAGATATAGACAGGCCATTTATACAGTTTTGCAAAAAAACTGCATTTAGCACTCTCCAAGTCTATTCTCTGCTGATCAGTAGGGGAAAGGACTGGACAAAGGCAGTTTAGATGCATGCCCAACAAGGCCTGAGTAACATGAGAAAATGCTTGCCTGTTAATCACACCTGGAAACAGGCAATTGGCCAGCATGGACATGGTCACTACATGTGCATGAAGTCTAAATATATATATTTCTAGACAAAGGCTCTAGGGCTCTGGCTCCTGGAACTCCTGCTGCAGGGGGCTGAGTCTCCTGCACTTGCATGGCGCATAGCCATGTTGGGCTCCATACATGGACGAATGAACTTTAATTAGCCTGAATACTGAACCACACCTGGCTGCAACATGGAACGGGAGCTCTGGACACTGACCGGCCTTGTTTCTGACTTTGCTGGACTCCCAGCTACACCTTTTCCAGGACTGGCTTAAGGGGCAGGGGGCTTTGGAATCCAAGAAATGTAACTTCATGCCAATAAAGCTTGTTTCCACATCCCATCCTTCTTTCAGGGGCACCCCAAGAACCAAGTCTGGCCCTTGAATTCCTCTGGCATCAACAGGATTCCATATATATACATTCTGCATTCCATATACATATATCTTCTTTCGTAGAATATAGGTAAACAACCAAATTGATGCTCATTACTAATTAATTTATACACACACACTCATAGTAGCAATAATATCACTTGTGTAGTGGTTTTACAGGTTCTAAGTATTTTACATATTAATGCATTTAATCCTTCTAACAACCTCTTGGAAACCAAGGCACAGAAAAATTAATTTGTATCAAGTCCTATAGCTACTAAGTGACTGAGTCAGGATTTAGATTCATGTTGGGCTTCAATTAAACACACACACACACCTTTTTAGATTAGAAAGGATAATACCTAAATAAATAAAAATGAACTAAATAGCCCTGGCTGGTGTGGCTCAGTTGATTGGGTATCATCCCATGCACAGAAGGGTTGCCAGCTCAATTCCCAGTCAGGGCACAAGCTCAGGCTGTGGGGTCAATCCCTGGTAGAGGGCATTCAGGAGGCAGCCAGCCACTCTCGCATTGATGTTTATTCTCTCTCCCTTTCTTTCTCTCTAAAAATCAATAAAAATAAAATTTTTAAATGATCTACATATAACAATTAAATTGAAGTCTGTTATAAGAAAACAAAACTTTTGTTAGTACTAAAGAACTAAATGCAGATATTAGTAGATGTCACTAGGTGATGCTGTTTGTTAAATTTCCCTCCCGGTAATCTGAGGAATTATTATTTATTCAGATGGGAAAGAACTTATTCTAGGCCTAATAAAAATTTAGTTGTCTCTTTAGCCACAAAAGTTATACAGTCCAGAAAATAAATTTATATGCAAACAGGTAAGCCACACAAAGAAACTTTAAGTAAGACTGTAAGCTTAGAGGATTGAGACTTCCACATAATGAACAAGGTATCTCTCTCTACTTATTTTATCTTTCTCTATTTTTGTCTCCATTTTCTTTAATGTCTTGATAAGATTTTGTCGACAGAGCTCTTGAGTATTTTAAAAATTTATTTCTGGTTAACATGTCTTTGATGCCACTATAATGTTATCTGTCTTTATCTTTTATGTCAAAATTTTTTAAAACATTTTTTTTTCCCGACTGGTTGTCAGAGAGGGAGACAAACATCGATTTGCTGTTCCACTTATTGATGCATTCATTGGTTACTTTTTTAAAAATATATTTTATTGATTTTTTTTACAGAGAGGAAGGGAGAGGGATAGAGAGTTAGAAACATTGATGAGAGAGAAACATCGATCAGCTGCCTCTACACACCTCCTACTGGGGATGTGCCCGCAACCAAGGTACATGCCCTTGACCGGAATCGAACCTGGGACCCTTCAGTCCGTAGGCCAACGCTCTATCCACTGAGCCAAGCCGGTTAGGGCTATTGGTTACTTTTTGTATGTGCCCTGACCAGGGATCGAACTCACAATCTTGGCATATCGGGACAACACTCTAACCAACTGAGCTACCCCGCCAGGGCCTATGTTGAAGCATTTTAAATTGACATTACACTCTTAACGAGGCAAAATGTATGCTGCACACATATCAAACTGACAGAAATTCAGCAATTTGATACCAAGTGTTGGAAACGAGGCAGAGCACTGGAACTCTTGACACACTGCTGTGGGGAAGGGAGATGGCAGTCCTTCTGGAAAGACAGCTGGCACTGTAGAATAGTAATACTGATGCCCTCGACAACTGCTAGATTCATGTATACAAAAATGTGTACCAAGAAATAAGACGTGTACCAAAAACACATATAACAATGTTCAAAGCAGTATTCTTTGTAATAGGGAAAAATTGAGATAACTCAAATGGCTCTCAACAATAGAGAGTATAAAATCATGGTACATAAATACAATAGAATAAAACAGAGACATCTAAATGAACTAGTAACAGCTTTTGCAACAACCTGAATCAATCTCACAAATTTCATAATAAAATAAAGAAGAGGTACAAAATAATGTGCATAAGTGTATTCAAAACTAATGCCTGCCACTTATTTTTAAATGGTTCAGCAAATAAAATATATATCCATATCCACCTATTCAGATACAAACAAAATGTACAAACTGTTAACAAATATGAATCTAGGTAGGATTATACAAAGGTTCATTGCATTATTTTGCTACTTTTCTTTAGGTTTGAGATTTTTCATAATAAAAAGAAAAAAAGTTCAAAAATCAGATAAAGCTAATTTACATTGTTTAGGAGTAGTTCTTCATCTGTGTGATAGACGTATGAGTTTTCTTTATAAGTATTTACTAAACTATACATACATATTTTATGCAGTTTTCTGTATGTATACTTTATAAAAGAAAAAAGGTTAAAATGTGATGATAAAAATACATTTAAAAAAACTGCTACATACTTGTTAAACATTATTATTTAAAAAATTAACTTTCTGCTTTATAAAGCAACCAAACATTAAGTTAGGGGGCTTTTGTTTGTGGGTCATTTACTTGAGATAAATTTATCAAAAGGAACACACCTGAGGACCCATTTTTGAGGCTAGCAATAATGTCATCGGATTTTTTCTATGAGATAGTTCTTACAAAACCATCAATTCTGAATCTTGTTACTTTGATATTCTTCTATATAATTCCCATGAACTGCATTATGATACCCCAATGCTCACTGGGCAGATCTTCTAGCATATGCTACTTAGAAGTTTATTGTAAGAAAAGTCTGCATAAGTTATATAATTGTTCAAATATTATACACAATTTATATTGTCCATGTATAAATGTTATCATTTTCTATAGGTTATTCTAAATTCTTTATTAGGATTTCACAGTATTTTTCTGTAAAACCCTCAAATAAAAAGTTGTTCAGAATTTCATGTTTTCACACTGACTTTTAATATATTAATCTATTTGATTGTCATCTTCTTCTGAGTCATCTAAATCAATATTAAAATCTAAGTCATCACTTTCTTCTTTATTTCTTCTGCAGCTTCTTCTACAATTGGAATGTGGATTATTTTCAATGTTTTCTGTGTTTTCTGTTTCTTTATTAAACCTAAAGATGGAAGGAAAAACCTCTTTATTTCCCAGGCTTTCACTATTTACTTGTGTGGATTGAAAATAACATTATGCTACATTTCCTGATTAACAGAAGCCTAATGAAATAAATAAAAAGAAAAAAATCCTTGAAGACTAAGTTACGACCCAACGAATTATATTATTATCATTCTTTAATGTCTTTTTCAATATATAGTTATTGACTGTTGTCAAAAAAGTAGACTCAAAGAAAATGTATGTTGTCCAGTAAAGAAAAGTAGTTACATAATAAAGAACTTTTTAATAATGAGTAATGAATATAAACCTCATGGATAAATATTTTAATTTCCTAAAAATATAAAGTTTCACTTATAAAGTTTCACTTCAATCTGTAATGATAAAGACTTTTTTCTATTAGGTAGAAAAAGTCTACATTAGTGTGATACACTGAAACTTAAGACCTTCAGAGCTAATGAACATTTCCTTAAATAAAATTCGCTTAATAATTACTAAAACAGTAAAACCCAAACATAAAAGAAATACTCACGGAGTAACAATGTCTTCTTTCTTTCCACATTTTGCGCAAACTTCAAGTTCACAGGCACATGGTCTACATATTATGTGATAAGAATCTTTCACTGTCTTTTGTAAACATTTAACACTAAAAGTAGAAAATGAAATCAAACATTAATATTTGAAAAAATGAGGAAGTGAAGCTAAATGTCTAGATAAAAAGCCCCAAAATCAAAACTCCTAAATTCCAATCTCAGAAAAAGGAGACATATGTAAAACTTTAGACAATTAAAAAAATAATTCCAATCTCATGTATTTATCTTATATAACTTTACATTAAATAAAGCATTTCTAGATAACAGGTTACAGATCAACTTGAGATTTATCTGCTTTCAAAATGCCTTTAAAAATGTCATCTGCAAACAGTGACAATTTTACTTCTCCCTTTCCAACTTGGATGCCCTTTATTTCTTTTTCTTGCCTAATTACTCTGGCCAGAACTTACACTACTATCCTATATAATAAAGAAGTGATATGCAAATTGACCGTCATGCCCTCACACAAGATGTCACCCCCATGTGGTCACAAGATGGCCACCACAAGATGGCCGGCAGGGGAGGGCAGTTAGGAGCAACCAGACCAGCAGGGGAGGGCAGTTAGGGATGACCAGGCCTGCAGGGGAGGGCAGTTAGGGGTGACCAGGCTGGCAGGGGAGGGCAGTTGGGGGCAACTGGGCCAGCAGGGGAGGGCAGTTGGGCATCAATCAGGCTGGCAGGGGAGTGGTTAGGGAGTGATCAGGCTGGCAGGCTGAAGCGGTTAGGGGCTATCAGGCAGGCAGGCAGGTGAGTGTTTGGGAGGCAGAAGTCCTGGATTGTGAGAGGGATGGCCAACTGCAGTTACAAGATGGCCACCACAAGATCGGGCCTAAACCAGCAGTTGGACATCCCCCAAGGGATCCCAGATTGGAGAGGTGCAGGCTGAGCTGAGGTACACCCCTCTCCCCCAGTGCACGAATTTCATGCACTGGGCCTCTAGTGTTGAATAAAAGTGGCAAGAGTGGGCATTCTGTCTTATTCTGATTCTACAGGAAAAGCTTCCAGCTTTTCACTGCTGAATATGTCAGCTGTGTGCTGACATCTATTAAGATGATCATATGATTTTCACCTTTCATTCTGTTAATGTGGTGTATCACATTGATTGATTTGTAGATGATAAACTATCCTTACATTCCTGGAACAAATTCCACTTGATTATGGTATATGATCTTTTTATGTACTGTTGAATTTGATTTGCTAATAATCAGTTGAGGATTTTTGCTTATAAGGTATATTAATCAGGAATATTGGCCTGTAATTTTCTTTTCTTGTGGTATCCTTGTCTAGTTTTAGTATCAGTGATGCAGGCCTTATAAAATGGGTTTGGAAGTTTTCCCTCCTCTTCTATTTTTTGGAAGAGTTAAGAAGAGTTGGTATTAATTTTCTTAGAATGTTTGGTAGAAATCAACAGTGAAGCTGTCTGATCTCGCACTTTTGTTTGTTGGGAGTTTTTGATTATTGATTCAATCTCTTTTCTAGTAATCTATTCAGATTTTCTCTTCCTTAATGATTCAGTCTTGGCAGGTTGTATGTCTAGGAATTTATCTGTTTCTTCTAGGTAGTCAAATTTGTTGGTGTACAATTGTTCATAGTCTGTTGTGAATCTTTGTATTTTTGTGGTATCAGTTATAACATCTCTTTCATTTGGGATTTTATTTATTTGAGAATCCTCTCTTTCTAGCTAAAGATTTGTCAATTTTGTTTATGTTTTTAACTAATCAACTCATTAATATTTTCTATTGTCTTTTTAGTTTCTATTTCATTTATTTCAGCTCTGATCTATGTTGCTTCCTTCTTTCTCATTGCTTCGTACTTTTTTCTTCTTTCTCTAGTTCCTTGAGGTGTAAAGTTAGATTTTGTTTCTTGATCTAAGCAGTTATTAATGTGAACGTCTCTCTTAGAACAGTTACTGTTACATCCCAAAGTTTTGGTATGTTCTATTTCCATTTTCACTTATCCCAGGGTATTTTTTTTTTAAAATTTCTCTCAGATTTCTTCTTTGACCCATTGATTGTTTAATAGCATGTTGCTTATTCTCCACAAATTAGCAAATTTTCTGGTTTTCTTCTTGTAATTTGATTTCTAGTTTCATATCATTGTGGTTGCAAAAGATGCTTGATATAATTTAAATCTTAAATTTTTATCACTTGTTTTGAGGACTAACATGTGATTTATCCTCAACAATATTCCATGTGCACTTGAGAATAATGTATATTCCATTGCTTTAGGATAGAATGTTCTGCATATCTATAATAATAAAAGCATAATATGCTAATTAGACCAGACAGCCGAACGACCTTCCAGATGAAGCTGGGGCTTTGAGGGACGAGGCAAGCTGCCATGGCTGTGAGGGCTGAGCCCCTTGCACAAATTTTGTGCATCAGGCCTCTAGTATCTGTATAATATTGTTAAAATGCCCATACTACTTAAAGCAATATATAGATTCAATGCAATCCCTATCAAAATCTTGATGACATTTTTCACGGAGATAAAACAAATAATTCTGAAATTTATATGCACAAAAGACCCCATATAGCCAAATCAATATTGAGAAAAATGAACAAAGTTGGAGGCATCATGCTCCCTGATTTCAAACTATATTACAAAGCTATAATGATCAAAACAGTATGATATTGACATAAAAGAGGCATACAGATCAAAGAGAATAGAGAGCCCAGAAATAAACTCACTCAATTAATTTGCAATAAAGAAGTCAAAAATATATTAACAAACTCTTCAATAATTGCTGAGAAAACTGGACAGCCTCATACATAGGAAAAGAAAATGGACCACAATTATACATCATATCCCAAAACTAACTAAAAATGGATTAAAGACTTAAATGTGAGACCTGAAACCATAAGACTCCTAAACACACACACACACACACACACACACACACACACACACACACACAACATAGGCTGTAAGCAATGATTCTTTAAATTTGACACCAAGATTAAATGGAACAAAAGAACAAAAATAAGCAAGTGGGACTAAATCAAACTAAACAGCTCTGTACAACAAAGGAAACCATCAACAAAATAAAAAGGCAACCTACTGAATGGGGAAAATATAAGTAAAACATGTATCTGTAAGGGGTTAATATCCAAAATATATAAAGGTCTCACACAAATCAATAGCAAAAACAAACAATCTGATTAAAAAATGGGCAGAGAATCTGAATAGACATTTTTCCAAAAACAATTAACAGATGGTCAACATGTATATGAAAAGATGTTCAGCATCACTAATTCTCAGGAAAATGCAAATCAAAACCACAATGAGATTATTCCTTCAAAAAGCTATTATCAAAAAGACTAGAAATAACAAGTGTTGGTAAGGATATAAAGAAAAGAGAACCCTTGTGCACTGTTGGTGGAAATGTAAATTGGTATAGCTAGTGCTATGGAAAAAGTATGGAGGTCCATCAAAAAATTAAAAAATAGAACTATCACATGACTCAACAATCCACTTCTGGATATTTATCTGAAGAAAATGAAATCACTAACTGAAATCAATAAAAACCTATTTTTAAAAATCCACTTTAAACATCAATATATAGTTAAAAAGAAAGTATAGTACCAGGACAATGAAGGGATAAATTTTCCAAAAACACACAATATTCCTGAACGTTTATGCATCCAACAACAGGCTGTTAAAATAAAAGAGGGGAAGCTATGAAATAAGAAGAGAAATAGACAAGTTCATAATTATAACTAGGGACTTTATCATCTCTCTCTGTAACTAACTGGACAAATAGACAAAAAAAAAAAAAAATCAGTAAGGATATAGAACACCTGGTTAGCAGAAGACTATGAACCAAATTGACATTTATAGAACCCTCCACCCAACAAGGGCAATATGTTCTTTTCAAGTACACATGAAACATTCTCTAAGTAGATCATATCTGAGCCATAAAACCAACCTCAATAAATTAAAAAAAAAACCAAAAACCTGTAAACTTACAGGAAATATGTTCTCTTACCACAGTGAAATTGACTGGAAACCAGTAACAGAAAAATATATGGAAAATGCCCAAATATCTATAAATTAGAACACTTCTAAAGAATCTACAGGTCAAAGAGGAAGTCACAGAAAAATTAGAAAATATTTTGACTGAAGGACAATGAAAACACATAACCAAAATTTGTACAAAAAGCTAAAAAAGTTCTTGGGAAATATATATAATTACATGTTTATATTAAAACAAGAAAAACGATCTAAACTTATACCTTAAGAAAATAGAAAAAGGGGGAGAAACTAAGATGGCGGCATAGGTAAACACCGGGAAATTGTCGCCTCCCACAACAATTGAAAATTACCGCAAAGGACTGAGCAAACATCATCCAGAACAACAGAAAGGCTGGCTGAGTGTAAATTCTACAACTAGAAGGAAAGAAAAGCACGCTGAGAGCCAGAGGCGCTGCGGAGGTGAAGTGCAGAGGTACGGCGGCTCGCGCGCGCACAGAAAGGGGGTGGCACCTGAGGACGCGGCTGTCTTTTTGAATCACAAACTCCCGACTGCTCTGAACTCCGGTTCCGGGAAGTCTCTGGGGACCCAGGTCTCATACGGGGAGAAGCTGGTCTGTCCGGCAGCGGGCGAACTTGAAGGCGGCTTTCCCTCAGAGGTGCTTGCAGCCGTTACCGGGACACTGAGACCCGCGACTCCGGGCGGAGAATCGGCCATAGCTCCCTGATCCGCCCTTTGATTCCCTGAGACCCCGCCCCACCCAGGCTGCGGCAGAGGCTTTTGCATGTGAATGTACCTAACTGCAGCCCAGCCAGGCAGACCCGGAACTTCCAAGAGAAGGCCCAAGGCCCCGCAGCGGCTTGCATTGCTTCACAGCTGAGCCTCTTCGTGGCTCCTGCTGTGTGGCCTCAGGCAGAGGCTGAATTAGCACCTCCTTAGATCCAGGAGCCACTGTACCCAGTGGTCAGAGGGGGACCATCCAGATTGCAACTCCTCAGATCCATAAGGGACACACTCAGGGAGCAGACTCAGTGAGCACCAAAGCCCCACTGAAGCAAGTCTTGCCCCAGAAGGGTGTCT